CGTCCCAAATGCACAAGCCAACCAGTGGCTCCTCCGCCCGATTGCTTGGCTCATGCATATGTGCCAACTGGGCATTGCCAGTCACTTCCAGAGAGTACTCTCTACGCACCCTGTACCTCACCACAGGGCTGGTACAACTGTGCATTCTCCCAAGACAATGTTTATTTGGCAAACATATTTTTTTAAGCATATATCGGCTCAAGTCACCAAGGCACCACACTTAGTGTCACCGCCGTAGTCATCAAACCAATTGCAAGAGCTTTTATTTCATACCCAATTGACCAATACGATCATCCGAATAGCGCTCCTTGTAGGTGGCATTAGCTGTGTGCTGCAGTCGAACCATCGCTCGACAGACTGTGCCAGCTAAAGCAGCGCGCATGGAGGTACATTTGCTATCGTATAGCTAGACCTTGCATGATGTTATATTAGATTACATTATAGTTTAATGATTATATAATATTGCATTGGATAATATTGGAATATATGATATAACACAATATAATACAATATTAAGTAATCTCAATTTACATGTGCTATATCATATTGTATTATATTATATAACACAATATGCGATAATGGTACATGCACCGCCGCATACGTGTACCTCATACTACACTATGTTCTATTCTATTATATTAGGATACTTTGCTATAGTTATTAGTAACCTGTGGTATCGTATATCTTCGATTGGCTTCAAACGGCGTACTGTGTTGAACCCTTACCGTCGCCTTCTGCCCTTCCCCACGGCTGTTGGTGACATGCGTAGCCCACACACTTAACTAGTCCCTACCAGGCCATGATGTGTGATGACATAGTATGCCGCATTGTAACATACTGTGGTACATGATTAGGGGATACCATGCGTGCATTATAACAGACTATAAGCGCGTTATAATATAGTACATTATAAAATACTATAAGCGCGTTATAATATAGTGCATTACAACATACTATAAGTGCGTTATAATATAGTGCATTATAACATACTATAAGTGCGTTATAATATAGTGCATTGTAACATACTATAAGTGCGTTATAATATAGTGCATTATTATAACAGACTATAAGCGCGTTATAATATAGTGCATTATAACATACTATAAGTGCGTTATAATATAGATACTATAAACGCGTTCTAATATAGTGCATTATAACAGACTATAAGCGCGTTATAATATAGTGCATTATAACAAACTATAAGTGCGTTATAATATAGTGCAATATAACATACTTTTTAAGTACGTTATAATACAGTGCAATACAACATACTATAAGTGCGTTATAATATAGTGCATTATAACATACTATAGGTGTGTTACAATATAGTACATTATAACATACTGAGTATGCTGCATGATGATTGGTGAGCATGTGGTTGATTTGCGGGTGTTATTGCCGACCCCTTCGCCCACGGGATACGACCACCCGTTGTATATGCACCACTGCACACACCCAGTGCTGTAAAGATACCACTACCTGCCTAGCATACAGCATACTATATACCATATAGCGTACACTAGTCTGCACTATACTACACTATACTGTACCTGCCTAGCATACAGCATACCATATAGCATATACTAGCCTACACTATACTGAACCTACATAGTTAAAATTGTGTAGCATCTCCCTACACTTCTGGCCCTATATAGCCTGGGCTGTCACCACCACTCTTCCGGGTCCTTCCGGCATAGAGCTACCACTTCCGTTCTCCCCAATCTTGGAATTTTGGACCGTTTTGACCTCAGGCTGTACCTCCTTAGCTACCGCATCCGTGCCAGACTCAGTCTTACCCGCATCCCCTACCGTGCTCTTATTACTACCGCCTGCGGCTACCACTCCTTTCGCGGCCACTTCATGGATAGCTCCCACAATGTCACCCCAGTGCTTCTCCGGCAGGTCGTGCCCCATCGTATCTATTTTTAGAAAACTGCTTCCGGGAATAGCCTTGTGTGTGGCTACACCGTGTTCCAGAACCAGCAGTGGGTCGAAGGCACCATGAATGACAAGAGACGGTACGGTGATGTTCTGAGGTGAATGTGAGGCAAGGGAAAGCATGTACGTATTAACGCCATGAGCATATAATATTATATCATTTTATACCATTTTATACAATTATATATATATATATACATATATATATATATATATATACAT